AAATTTATTTGGTTTTATTGTCTAGTGAACTAGACCCTCCGACATTAAAAAAAAAGTCATGTCATTTTGTCCAATGTTTTAAGATTTGTTCCGCGTTAAAATGTGTCCGAATATTTACGCGATCGTCTGTATACGCTTGTCATTTTCATGAAGCAACATGAAATAGTTACTTTTAGTAATCCGTAAATCTGATGTTAACCCGAGAAAGATAACCTACGTCGCAGAGGCGCCTGCGAAGACTGTTGATTTTTGTTAATTTTTCATAGAGGTCTAGTGATTTAAGTTTAAAATTACTTAAAATATAAAAAAATATAATATAAATGCATTTTATTTTTACAATAATGCCAAACCTTTAAAATGACTAGATTAACTTAAATAAATATCCATTGTTAGTATAAAATTGACGCCTTAGAAAAGCATGCGCCTCTGAAGCGTATGGTTATCTTTTACGTACGTTGTCATATGGTTATCTTTCTAGGGTTAAATAGAAATCATTTCGTTTCATTTCAAATTTCAAAAATTTCAAAACAATTTCAAATCGTTTCATTATTGAACGAGTAAATGTGCCATCTTCGACGACATTAGGGATCGCAGATTTGACGCACCGATGAAAGTCGATTTTCGCGTCGGTCGATACCGGCTGTATTACACACGGATTTACCGACGTGTCAGAAATCAAGCTGGTAACCGAGTTTTCGCGATCCAATTTTCCATAAGATTCTGAATACGTCGACACGTTCGGCGTTGCACAGTCCGCGTAACTGTTGCGGAAACGAAACGATTGGCAATTTTCGTTCCTTCCTTAACATTAAAAATCTCATTTCCGGCGAATACGTCGCACAGAAGCACAGCGCGGTGGTGTTTGGTTTGTGCTGTTCATTGTTCGAAAACTATGGCTGCGCAGGGCGGAGCGTGACTTCCGGTACGAAAGGCAATGTTCGTCTACGCGGAAAACAAACGAACAATTTTTGAATAATATCTCCCATGTTTCGCTTTCAAGCGGTCTCCGCTTTCCAATTTCTAATATTTTTTCGGACGCATGCATGCCGGAATTACGGCAACGTCGCACACTGGAAAATTGTTGTGCAGTTTGATTTATTACTGTCTGATACTGTATAATTGGTTGGTTTTATACGTTTACTTTTACTAATATACATGAAAAAATACAAAAACGAAAATTGAAAATTATTTAAATTCTGATAATCACGTTTTCCTTCTATTAATATGAGCATACTCCTGATTGTTTAAATACTGAAAATGTGGTTTCAAAGTATCGTTAAAAAGAAGTGGAATTCAATAATGACGTTATGTTATTACTTGACAGAAATGATACGCGCATTTATGAAGATGAAGTCAAATATGTTTTATTTTGCCAATAAAACAAGTTTTATTTATTTATTAAACAAGCTTTTTGTCCTATTTTTACAATAATTAATTTTCTGCAACAGTGCACTATTACTCTCAAACACATTGCAACGATATTTTATTTTTAACGTAATTTGAGCGATTCTTAACAAGGACAAAAATATATTTATTACAAAATTAATATACGTTATTACAAGGTTCTATCGTTTTTAGTTGTTTCATTTGAAGTTTTATTTAGATTTATGAATCAATTTTCAAGAAAAGTATACCATTTGTTCATACGTGTTACAATTGAATCAAATAGTATTGCATAGTAATCTAAATAAAACTTCGGAAGATTTATGTTTTTATATA